GGCAATTTTTGCTTTGCCACTGGCTACACATTGCATTGTGCCCTTGCCTTCATTGTTTCCCTTACTCCCCTTCCTTTGCCTAGCCCGACCATGGGTCCCTTACTCTCTTTTGTATTCTCACCCGACGGTCACTTCTGGATCCCTATTCTAGTCCATTTCCTCATCACCTCCACCCTCCTCCTACTCTTCTTCTTTGCTCCCCCACCATACCTGATGTCACCACTCTCTATCCACTTCCGTCGCCAATCTGTCAACCACCACGTGCCACTTCTGATATCAGCAAAGCCCCGGCAGCTGGTCCAAATTGGGCAATAGGTCCATCTTCATGACATTGATATTCCATTGTATATTATCAAATCACCGGTTGCTCGTCTCGCCTGGTTGGAGCGTGGGTGGGTAGTTTTTGAGCTGGAGAAGGTTTATCCCCTTGCGTTGCCTATGTACACCGCTGTCCCATTCACTTGGGTACACTTATCTTTTGTACATCGTCTTTGCTACAGCTACACTTACCACACACTGCCTGGGACACATTTGTTCCAGATTGGAACTACTCCCCTCCTTCCCTCATTTGACCAGGTGGTCCAATATAACCAGTCCATTGGTAAGGCCATGGAACCGTCGGATTTGCACTAGGTGGTGGACCAGTGGCTCCAGTTTCTTTTTTTTCAGCAGAACATTCATTTGCAGTGCAATTATTTTTGATTTTTGAAACATTTTTATGGACACATATTTTTTTAGAATGCCTGACTAACAATAAAGGAACTGTGTTGATACTGATAGTGTTTTGCCTTGCCCTTTTTTTACTGCATCTTCCCATGACATCATAATTTACTTGCTCTCTTTCTGTTATTGGACTTTATTTTATGGCTGTACAAACCTGTGACATTACTTACACAGCATTCATTGTTCTATCCCTTTTTTCCCCTTATTTTGACGATCTTATCCTGTACTACCTACACGGATTTGTCAGTGTACATTCCTTCCTTCATGTTCTTTCTCATTCTTTTTGCACAGCTATACTGTGCATAGCCTACTTTTCTTTTACTATATAAACCCCTGTATTTTACCTTGTAAAAAAACAACAAGAACTCCAATCCATACTTCTTCTCCAATCTCAAGTTCACTACTCTGCTACTTGTGATCCAGTGTGGTCACAACACTTCCCACTGCTACCACTGTTAACTGCTGTCATTGTCACTCGTCACTTTTGAAAGTCATTGTCATCCCTTTCGATTAAAGTCCTTCTGAGCACTACAGTCTGTGCATCAGGAGCCTACTATCACTGGAAACCCCGTCACCTCGTCATTCTCAAACCTACCTTGTGCTACAATTAGCAAGGTAGTTGTCACGATCTCAATCTCCTTATCTATCCAACTGCGATGTAGAAACACGTGTCTCACGTTATATAATCAATACATAGTATTTATCTTATCTTGTCATGTGACCGTAGGTTACGTAACTACTTACTCAGCATACATGCCTTCTCCTCATATTTATCAGTCAGCGCCTCAAGGCTGGCACATTCCTACATATATATATAAGTAGCTACTTAACACTGTACATACCCTAGCTTTTGATTTCCTCTCAATATACCTTGTTCAACTACTTGCTAGAGATTTGACATTACCACTCCGTTAGTTTTGGCATAAGTGGTGTTACGATAACACAATTTTAGGACTTTCCCTTTTACTTTTATTCTCCACTTTAACCTTGTACTATAGCTTTTCACACATGGTGCCATGTGGCACTTCCCCTTTCTCACGCCGTGTTGCCTTTCCTCTTATTTTGGACACAACTCTCTCACACAGTGGAGCTGGCCATGCGGGCTAGGCCCCATGACATCATCAGCCACTGTCTCTATCAAACTGTATAGTACACATGTACAAACAACCCTGTAGTAGTATATAAACCCCAATAGATCAAGGAGACTCCTCAGTGAGTCCTCCTGTTGTATACCAACAAACTCTCTGCAGCTTAAAGGGTAACCACTCCCATATCATCTTCTCTATAGTGTGTTCTGTGTGCGCCAGAGTAACTAACTCTTGGTTGTTACAAGTGGTTGCACTATATAATCAAAAGCTAGTATAGCACCTGGTTGGATGAGCTAAATGAAGGCTATAATCATTATCACCCTATTCCCCATTATCACTCTCCTACTCTTCGCATTACTCAAACTTTACATTCGCCTCACCACACCTCTTCCTCTTATGACATCCCCTAACCCTCCCCCATCCACTACCACTTTCATCCAAACCACTCCCTCGAACTCATCCTTTGAGACTATTCCCCTATCTCCTATCACCCGCCCCCACAATCCCCTACTTAGAGACTGTAACAACGTGGAGTCGTTGCGGTTTTATTACTCACATCTTTTACCTACTTCTCAAAAATTTGTATACCCCTTACCAGGCCGCGCACTTGCATCCACCAGTCAGGGAAGAGCTGAGAGCCCAATAAGCCGGCTACATCTGGACAACCGTTTGGACCCAGATTTAATACTATACCTTTTACGTTAGCTTTTCTAGGATACTTTTACGTACACGGTAGTAGGGAACGGAAGAGGGTCCATATACCAAAGAGAAAACGATAGACAAAGGGATCTTACAATATGACGTGTTAATCCAGACTTGTGGCAAAAGCTCGCCAAAGCAGAAAGGCGGCAGCAACAGCAAACAGGCCGGCATCCCAAACCAGAAGTAAGACTCAAAAGATGGCCCTAGCCAAGCTGGAACACTATGATGGTGACAAGAAAAAGTTCCGCGGATTCATGGAATCATTAAAACTTCATTTTGGAGCAAACACCCGATACTTCAGATCAGACAAAACAATATCATGTTTGCTTTATCAAACATGACTCTAGGAGCAGCGGCAGCTCTTAGGACTGAATGGGTAGAAAGAAGGAAAGTGTTACAATAACACAATTTTTGGACCTTTAAATTTCATTCTCCTCTTCACCTTTCTTTTGTAGTTTTCACACCCTGTGCCATACGGCACTTTCCATTACTGTTCAAAACTCCACTTCTCGCGCTACGCTGCATTTTTCTATTTTTAAATACAAGTTCTCACGCAGAGGAGCTGGTCACACGGGCTGTGCCCCATGACATCATCAGCCACTGCTTCCATCAACTGTACAGTACATATGTACAAACAACCTGTAGTAGTATATAAACCCCAATAAATCAAGGAGACTCCTCAGCGAGTCCTCCTGTTGTTTACCCACAACTAATTTGATCCTATCCTAAGGGTAACCACTCCCCTCACTACCTTTATAGCTTTGTCTGAGTTGTGCACCAGAGTATCAAAACTTTGGTTGTAACAGAAAGCTACAGAAGAGAGATCTGACATAGGGGAGACAACCCTGTTGGAAAGTTGGGTGTACTTCAAAAACACCCTCAAAGAACATTTGAAAGACTCGCACGAGGAGGAGCAAGCAAAACATAAAATAATGTACCAAAAACAGGAGAAGAACCAGACGGCCCAAGAGTTTTTCATGAAATTCGAGGAACTCAGAAGGAGAGCGGGCTATGACATCAGAAGGAATGAACTGTTCATAATAACGCTCATTAGGAACAACATCAACGGGCCGTTGATAAAGCAGATAATATACAGCGGCAACATTCCTAGGACGTACGTAGAATGGAAGACAAGGATTATCACAAATGATCAATTGTGGAGGGACCAGATGGAGAATGAGCAGATGCTCAAAGGAATGATCGGCGGCAGCTCTGGTTCTGGAAACCGGGGACCTAATGGTTGTTACCAAGGAGGAGGTGCTTCGGAGAAGAAGGCCGAGACAGTGGAAGTAAAGAAAGATGGCACAGGCACGGTCTACGGACAAGCCGGAATGCCAATGGAAGTAGACAAAGCAAAGTATCGGGCAGAAGGCAGATGCTTCAAGTGCGGAGAAAAAGGGCATAGAGCCCAAGACCACAAAGAAGAAGGCAGCGCAGCCGCAAAACCAAAGTTCAATCTTCGAGCAATGCTTGAAGGGATGAACAAAGAAGAGCAGGATGAACTACTCAAGGGTTTTTAAAGAGGCCGGTTGTGACTCCTCGTCAGACCGTGCCTAAAGACATTACAAATGTAAATAGATATGCTTCCCTTTCTGTTGAAGATCTTGATGCATGTATTAGTACTGATGAAAATGATATTGCATTATTTAAAGACGCACAAGATCTAAAATGTAACGAAAAGTAATCTAAAGAGGAGAACCTGAAAGGGAAACAGGTTAAAAAGATTCCCAAAAAAAGAGACAAGTAAGGCACAGAATGAAGTGACTCAATTGGGTAGCACTTCTGGTACTGATGCCTTGACACGCTCTAAGGAAAATGCGGCGCTCGAGATACCTAAAGGGGATAGGATCACAAAAGGCACAGTAGTCCAAAAGGAGACAACAGAGACACAGAATGCGGTGACTCATTTGGGTAGCACCAATGGCACTGATGTTTTGACCAGCTCCAAAGAGGTCAGGCACACCTCTGATAAAAACCTAGAAAAGAACAAAGAAAAGAAAGTACCATGGACAGCTGACTGGATAGCGGAAAGGCTCAGGGACCAAAGGAAGAAAGATTTATTAGTATCCTAAATAGCTGGACCCACAAAAAACAAGGACTAGAAGTAACTACAGAACTGATAAAAGAACTAAACGCTTTGCCAATTCACGAAATGGTATTAGCACTAGAAGAATTGAGAAAGCCTAAACAGTTCATTAGAGGTACTCAAGGAAACCAAATGAATGTCACCTGTAGACTCACAAACCTCGGAACGCACAAATCAACAATGATAGATGCGTTATTAGACAGTGGCTGCACAGGGAGTTGCATAGACTCTAGATTTGTTGAAGAACAGGGATATGAAAGGCAAAGAATCCCTAGACCCATTCCAGTCTACAATGCTGACGGCACCTTTAACCGGGACGAAAGCATTAAGGAATTTATAAAACTATTAGTGGAGATAAATGACCATGACGAAAGACTCCAGCTAGCCGTTGTCATGCACCAAAGTTGATTGGTAGCATGGACAGGTGTCAATAACAAAGCGAATATTCAAAAAGACTCGCCTTTGCGCCACACAGGCACAGTGCCACGTGGAATAGTAATTAATATTGCCTTTTTTGAACTTGTGGCTAATCAGCACCACCTCTATTAGGCAATCCAGTCACGCTCACCTTTGCTTTCCATTTGGTACTTTCCGCATTTCGGCATTTCGGCAAATTTTTGCGTCGCCACTGGCTACACATTGCATTGCACCCTTGTTTTTGTCGTTTCCTTCACTTCCCTTCCTTTGCCTAGCCCCACCATGGGTCCCTTACTCTCGTTTTTATTCTCACCCAACGGTCGTTTCTATATCCCCATTTTAGTTCACCTCCTTGTCACCTCCACCCTCCTCCTCCTTATCTTCTTTGCTCCCCCACCATTTCTGATGTCACCACTTCCTATCCACTTCCGTCGCCGATCCGTCGACTACCACGTGCCACTGCTGATATCAGCAAAGCCCCGGCGGCCGGTTCAAATAGGGCAACAGGTCCATCTTTATGACGTCGATCTACCATCATATACTATCAAAACATCGGTCGCTCGTCTTGCCTGGTTGGAGCGTGGGTGGGTAATTTTTGAGCTGGAGAAGGTTCATCCCCTTGCGTCGCCCATGTTCATCGCTGTCCCATTCACTTGGGTACACTTATCTTTTGTCCATCGTCTTCGCTACAGCTACACCTATCACACGCTGCCTGGGACTCACTTGTTCCAAATTGGAACTACTCCTCTCCCTCCCTCGTTTGATCAGGTGGTCCAACACAACCAGTCCATTGGTAAGGCCATGGAACTTTCGGATTTGGACTAGGTGGTGGACCGGTGGCTCCAGTTTCTTTTTCTTCAGCAGAACATTCATTTACAGTGCAATTATTTTTGATTTTTGAATCATTTTTATGGACACATATTTTTTTAGAATGCCTGACTGACAATAAAGGAACTGTGTTGATACTGATAGTGTTTTGCCTTGCCCTTTTTTTTACTGCATCTTCCCATGACATCATGATTTTCCTGCTCTCTTTTTGCTATTGGACTTTACTTTATGGCTGTACAAACCTGTGACATTACTCACAGCATTTATTGTTCTATCCCTTTCTTTTCCTTTTTTTGACAATCTTATCCTGTACTACCTATGCAGGATTTGTCAGTGTACATTCCTTCCTTCATATTCTTTCTCATTCTTTTTGCACAGCTATACTGTGCATAGCCTACTTTTCTTTTACTATATAAACCCCTGTATTTTACCTTGTAAAAAAAACAAGAAATCCAATCCAGACTTCTTCTCTAATTTCAAGTTCACTACTCTGCTGCTTGTGATCCAGTGTGGTCACAACACTTCCCACTTCTACCACTGTTAACTGCTGTCATTGTCACTCGTCACTTTTTGAAAGTGATTGTCATCCCCTTCAATTAGAGTCCTTCTGAGCACTACAGTTTGTGCGTCAGGAGCCTGCTATCACTGGGAACCTCGTCATATTGTCGTTCTCAAACCTACCTTGTGCTACGATTAGCAAGGTAGTGCTCGTCTATACTCATCACAAAGCCCCTATCCTTCTATAAAATCAACTATCCCTCCTCCTCAAAACCCACACTCATACACCTCTGGGTTTTACTTTGAAGGATCTTTATACGTACCACCCTACGAACAACCAGACCACTCCACTGTTCTAGGAGGCAAAGCCCATAAACAAGTTCCGTGGAATCTGGGAGGATTGTGTGTTAGTTTGTTTTGTGTGTGGTTTTCTAACTGCAGTTCTCATCATCGACAACGTACTCTTCTTAAACGTTTTATGACTATGTATCTCAGACTTATTCATATGATAAGCTTGTGGAATATATATAATATGACCATTCTGAAATACAATAACTATTTATGGTTGTTATATCTATTATATTCTATGAGAGCAGCCATAGTAGAGATGGATTGTATATATCATAGAAGTGATATTATAGCTGGTATAGCAAACATCTCAAAATAGCCCTGCTATATAGAGCTATATAATAGGGACTTGTCTAGGCGTACTATAGCTACTATTTTCCCTATATAGCACATGACAGCTATGGTAACTACAAAAGGAAACTAGGTTTTTCATGATGTAGAAGTCCGGTGCATGAGTATTGGAGTGGATATCTGGAGTACCATGTGGAGGTGGGGTACAGGGTTATGCCAAACGGCGGAACACAAGGAGCATAATCCTGAGAGTACTGAAGATTTGGGAGTCTGGACTTGAGAATCTGTCCTCTTTGGAGTTCCAGAACTATGCCTTCTGGCATAGATATGACAGGTTGGGATTAGGAGTGGTAGGCTGGCAAGCACGTTGTTCACCACTAAGCGGGGGAGTTGAGGGCCTAGAGGGTGGAGGACATGGGATGGCAGACGAGAGGGCAGCATCAATTTTGTCAAAAGGGAAGGGAAGGCCAGGTTGAGAACTGAGTGTTCGAGCAGATTCAGGGATAGAATCCAAGGTGTGAGGAATAGCAGTGTAAGTTGCTAAAGGCATCTGGGAGAGAACTGAGTATAGTCCTTACATTCAAACACCTATGCATTGTTCAACCCGCAGGGATCAACCAAGGGATTCAGAAGAAAGTGCTGAAGACTACAATGGAGTGGGTCCACAGGTGAGTTTGCAGAGTCCGCACTTTTAAGTCTAAATGGAGCGGATACATCACAGCAAGTTGTGATCTTGCTGGAAAGGCAATAATACGAATGTGGGAGTGATAATATGAGTTGAGGATGAATATAGAGTGGAGAATACGACACTGGAATGACTCCTGAGAGTCTGCGTTTTGGGTCTATACGAGCAGAGCGTCACAACAAGCTCGGTGCTTTGTTGGAAATCTTGGTAAATATGGCTGTGGGATGTCTACAACGATTCTGAAGCAACTATGGCGACTTATTCAGACGAATTCTGAGTATATGGGGGATCAAAAAGATAGATTTTTTTCCTTTTGGAAGTACAGTTTTATAGCAGTACCAAAAAGGAAATAGCAAAAATAGCGTAAAACATATGAGAACCAATGGGAGAAATGAAGGATAAACATTAGAAAGTGTCCATATGAAAATGTAAGAAAAAGCGGGTCATATCCTGCTAGTCCAGTGTCCAGACAGTTCCATACCATGAGGGACAACTCTTATATTCCATAAAAGGAAAGGGGTAGTTGATCCGTGGACAGTCATAATGCTCTGGAGTCCACGTGGAGTCTTGCACGTGCGTGGAGTGTTGAGTTAGCTCCTCGTCCGACGGGTCCGAAGTCCGAAAAGTGCGGACTCTGCAGACTGTTGCGTATTGATGCATGGTTTGTCGTAAAACTGGATTGATATGTTGGGAAATAAAGGGATTATGGTGCCAGCGTCTAAGTCAACTCTACAGCGGACACCATGTTCTTCAAGGCCTTGTGGGGATGGGAGGATTCAAAGAACTGACAGATGGAGAAAGAGCAGTTGACAAGAAAGATATTGTCGACTGAGTAAAGAAGACTGCTGGGATATTCTGTGGCAGGAGCTCATTCTTGGAACTCAGCCTTGGCATGAGTCCAGGCTCCCGTGAGATTGTTCCTCACTCCCAGAGCCTTCAACTTCCCAGATGGACCCCTGATACCTGTAACATGTGACATTTTCTGGGATTGCCCAGTGGAACATCCCACATATGCTGTGGGTAATCCCACACAGTATGAAAACAGACCTGGTGCACCATGCTCCTGATGTTACGATACACAATTTTTGGACTTATATCTTTCTTTCTCTGCTTCAACTTTCTTTCTTAGTTTTCACACACTTGTGCTATTCAGCACTTTCCTTTTGTTCAGACTTTAACTTTCTTGTGCTGCACTGCCTTTTTTTATTTTTAGAAACAAGTCTCTCATACAATGGAGCTCGTCACACAGGCTGTACCCTATGATATCATCAGCCACTGCTTTATCAACTGTATAGTACAACATGTACAAACAACCTGTAGTAGTATAAATACCCCAATAGATCTAGGAGACTCCTCAGCAAGTCCTCCTGTTGTATACCCACAACTAACTCAGTCCTATCATAAGGGGTTTATCCACTCCTCCATCCTCCTCTTTGCTTGTTGTTGTGTGCACCAGAGTATTCAGACTTTGGTTGTAACACCCAGGGGGCTACTAGCTGGATAGGTTGGTAAAAGATGATCAAGCTAAGAGCCCTAGAATTTGGGTAGCCTGAAGTGCTGCATGGCACAAGTGTCCAAAAATGATGAAGAAAGTTAAAGAGGAAAATAAAAGTCGAAATTCTGTTAAAAATCTGAAAATTGTGTATCATAACAGAAGGAGAGCATGTGTGAGCAAATTCAAGATGAAAACAAAACTTGCATTAGTCAAAGGGGGGTGGATTCCAGTGACATAAATTCATGTAAAGTTAGCTCTACCAAGGAGAGAAAAAACATGAAAGACAAATTTTACCATGACATATATTTCTGACATTTTCTGTAAGGCCAATGTCTAGATTGTCATCTAAGTACTTGAGGATACATGCTGTTTCTGGTAATGTTTTCAGATTTCCACATCGCACGCAGTCAATCACTGCGCCATCACAATAAACCTTGTCTGATTTTACCAAACATTGGTTGGCTATTGTTACAATTGATGTACCAGTACCTACTTACACTTCACTTTTTTGCACTTTTACTTTTATTTTTCCAAGTCACATGACCAGTCACGTGACCATTTACTTTACTTTACATTTTCGACTTTTCATAGTCACATGACCACATGACCAAGTCATGTGACACATCACCTGACCAGTGTCTAGACTTAGCATGTGACCGGTCACATGCTAGACATTGGACTTTAAACTTTATTTACAACTGTACAGTACCTCATGTATTTTAGTATATATACAGGAGCAATACATGGGGAAGGACTCAGTGAGTCCTCCTGTTGTCTACCAACAACTAACTCGGTCCTACCAAATGGGTAACCACTCTCACCTCTTCCTCTTCTTCTGAGTGTTGTTTTTGTTGTGCTCCAGTGCCCCAAGACTGTGTCTTGTTGGTGTTGTCACAGCTATAGTGCATTTATTTTAACTTGGGTTCCCCAGAATTCCAACCTTATTCCTGGACCCGTAGGTTCCAAGTTTCCAAAGCACAAATGTCCGCTGCGTTTTCCAAGGACCAGTCATTACTCATTTACATTTACGCTTCCTTTCCTTTCTCGCACTTTTGGCTCATTCCGTCTATTGTCACGTGGCTACCTTGGTGCTACTCACTCAGGCTCTTGCATCCGTTGTACGTTGTTGCTCTGCGATCGCTGTAAAGACCGCACAAAATGTTAACTGTAATGTCAAATCGTTTGGGAGTTAAATCTATGATAAGAGAAGGGACTCAGATCTTGTAGAATAGTCTCATGTATTCAAGTAAGTACCTATGATAAGAAAAGGGACTAAATCATAGTAAGCTAAGTATTTGAAAGGGGGTGAAAGAGAAGGGGTCTCACCTCAGATCTCGTAGAAGAGTCTGAGGTGGTACATGGTAACTAGGCCTCCTTTATAGGTAAGTGAGAGAACGGAATCAAAAAAATTTTGATGGTATATATTGGCGCATGGGCCACTCATACTTAAATGCCTTCCTTTCTAGGCGCTTCATATCGGCTTGCTTCCTTTCTCGATATCCTCAATCCAACACTCCCCCTCAAGCCATACGGAGTCCAAGTGCAGCAGCAAAATGCTTCGCTTTTGTGGACGGCAATGCCTTGTTAAGTGTATCCGCTATCATATCGTCCGTGGGACAATACTCTAATTCAATCTTCCTGTCTTCGACCGCGTGGCGTATGAAGTGCAATTGCACGTTGATATGCTTTGTTTGTGCATGGTATTGACTGTCTTTGGATAGGGCAATGGCAGATTGATTATCGCAGTAAAGAGTGGTTGGCGGTGAGTTGGCTTTGAAAACTTTGTTGATGAACATCTTCGCCCACAGGATCTCCTTGGTTGCATGGGTAGCCGCAACATATTCTGCCTTCGTTGTTGACAGGGCAACAATCTCTTGTTGCTTAGAATACCATGATACTAAACCCCCGTCTAACATTATAGCATACCCCGAGATCGCTCTGCGATTCTCGTTCATGCTACCATCGGTGTCGCTATAGCCTAGGAGGTCAGTCTTTTCAGGTCCATATGTTAACCAGTGCTCGCAAGATCCCTTTAGGTATCTGATGATGCGCTTCACAGCTTCCCAATGTGTCCTTCCAGGGTTTTCAACGAAACGGGATATAATCGCAACAGCGTGCGCGATATTGGGGCGGGTACCAATCACCGCGTACATCAGTGATCCCACTGCTTCTCGATACAGGACGTCTCGCATTTCTGCGTAGTCCTCGGGCATTCTAGGTCTTTGGTCTTTGGTCAGGTACAAATTTGCCACCATTGGGATTGCTAACGTCTTTGCATCTTCTAGGTTAAAGTGCTTGATGATGGTGTCTATATAACTGTGTTGCGACATGCACAAGGTATGTGCAATCCTGTCTCTCTTGACCTCAATACCTAACATCCAATGGAGCTCGCCCAAGTCACTCACTTCAAATAGCTTTGACAGGTCATTTTTCAGGTGTGTCATGGTGATTGCTGAGGGGGTGATCAGTGTCATGTCATCTACATGGACGGCAATGATCGTAAGTCCCTCTTTTTCATGTTTGTAAAAGACGGTGTTGTCTGTTTTGCAGCGGGCTAATCCAATCTTTTTAAGCCCTTCGCATAATGTTTGGTACCATCAATGTCCGGCTTGCTTAAGGCCATATAATATCTTGTTTAGGCGTAGTACCAAGGACTCCCAACCATGGGCGCTATATCCGGGTGGTTGACGCATATAAATTATCTCGTCTTCATCAAGTTCACCATTTAAGTAGGCGCTTTTGACGTCCATCTGGTGAGTCTCCCAGTCGTTCCTTGCCGCCATTGCTAATATATTTCTCAGGGATGCCATCTTGGCTATAGGGGCAAACATGTCAAAATAGTTGATGCCTTCAACTTGGCTGAAGCCCTGGGCCACCAGCCTGGCTTTGTATTTGTCAATGTCGCCGGAAGGGGTCTTTTTAACCTTGAACACCCAACGGCTGCCTACAACATTGGCGCCCTTTGGTTTTTCTGCGTAAGTCCAAGTTTTCGCCTTATCTAATCTTTCCAGCTCTTCTTTGATGGCTGACTCCCATTTGTTCCAATCTGGGCGTCGTTGGGCTTCTTTGATGGTTCTCGGCTCAATCCCATCAAGGTCAGCCATGTGTGCGACCATAGCTACGTTTTGGGCCAAGTCTCTCAGGGCTTCATTGTTTCTTTCCTCTTCATCTCTTCCATCATCATCGTCAATGTTTAGTTGGATTCCCCTGGGTAAGACAGGACCTTGTTCGAGTCCAGACACTGACCCTTTTCCTTGGAGTAGGTCACGCACGTATTGTGTGGGTTGGTGTATTCAGGTACTTCGACGAGGGGCAATTGGGGGTGGAGGAGGAGGAGCCGGCTGTAAGATGTCAGGTTGGAGGACATTGGGATCGTGGTGATTAGGGATGTCCTGGGGGTTGGGTGGATCAAGATGAGGTACGTCGTCATCAATTTCGATGATTTGACTTTCTTTTGGCGCTTGATCAAAGGCGTCATCCGTATACTCCCCCTTGAGCCCGAAAGGGAGTCCACTGTCAGCATTCAAAGGTGCGTTTTCAACGTCAAAATGTACGGAGCGTTCAATCGTGACTGATCGCTTTCCTGGCCAGTAGATACGATGCCCCTTACTTTGGTCATCAAGTCCCATCCAACGTCCTTCATGCGCTCGGTAATCGAGTTTAGATCCTGATGCATCGTGTATCAAAACTTTCCGGCCCCATTCGTGTAATAAAGATAGATCAGGCTTGGTACCATGGGCCACTTCATGTGGTGTCATGTTATCCAAAGCTTTTGTGGAGGTGCAATTCTTTAGCCAAACCGCATGTCTAACCGCTTCTCCCCACAGAAACTTCGGCATCCCACTGCCATGCAACATGGCACGAACCTTTTTAAGCAATGTACGGTTGAGGCATTCGGCCATGCCGTTTTGTTCAGGTGTGTTGTGAACGGTGAGTTTCCGAATGATTCCTCTTTCTTTTAGATAGTCACTGAACTCGTTGCTTAGGAACTCGCCTCCTCGATCACTGTGTAAAATTTTTATTGCAGCTTTCATGTGGGTTCTGACCCAGGCTTCGTAGTGGCAGAACTGTACGGAGGTATCGCTTTTGTCACGTAGCAAGTAGAGGTGAGTCTCTTGCGTTTTATCATCTGTGAAAGCTACGTAGTAACGTTTCCCACCAAGAGTTTTGACAGGTGCCAGCCCCCAGAGGTCCGTGTGGACTTCACCACCATACGTTGTGGCGCGCTCGCCAGTTTTGACTTTTGGTATGCTTTCCTGAGTTGTCTTGGTGTGGATGCATGACTCACAGGGGGCATTCTCATCACCTGGTATAAGTTTGATTCCTTGAACTAGCCCATTTTTGACCATGCGTTTGGCTGCAGCTGGTGCTATGTGGCCCATACGTTTGTGCAAGTCTATCAGGGTGAGTTTCTCAATTGCTACATTAGCGCTCTGGCTGATTGATTCAATAGGGCGAGAGGGATATACACCACCAATGTTTGGGATTCAACCGACTACCTTGCCACTGGGGCTTGTAATTACACATTCCCCATGGTAAAAGATGGTTTCGTAGCCGGCTTTGTTGATTCGGCCGATCGAAACTAGCGTATGCGCGATGTCTGGCGTGTAGAGGACGTCCTTCGGAGTAATTTGGGTGGGTTGCTCATTGCCATTTGGCACGTAAATGGTAAGTTCTCCCCGTCCAACTGCAGTGAACGAGTTTTGATTTGCAGCGCTGATAGGTTGGGCAGGTATCATCTCGAAGGATTTTAAAAGATGACGATATGGAGTGAAATGAGTGGTTGCTCCTGAGTTGTATAGCTCAATGGTTTCCAAGGCATTGGTAGGTGGTTTGTTTTGAGTGTAGAAGGCTGATTCTTGTGGTCCATTAGGTCGGGGAAGAATCATGGCACTCCATATCCCTTCCTCCTCCCGTTCTACCATAGCAATATTTGCTTACTCAGTGTGCTCAGGTTTCTTTCCTTTCTAGTCATTCTCGTAGTCCTCTGATTTCCTATCATGTGAGTCCTTTTTGATATTGTTTCAACAATCACATTTCTCACTTGGGCAGTCTCGACTGAGATGCCCCTTCCCCCCGCAATTGTAACATTCAACCTCATTTCGCTCGCAGGGCTTCTCCCTGGAGTCGTTTTTTGTATGATTGCATCCTCAACCTCCTCGGTTTCCTCGACGCGTTGAGGAGGATGTTGAGTTGAAGGTGGCAGCCATAGCTGCATTCTCCATCTTAGGGTTTGTGCTCGGTTTCTTGGAGGAGATCGTGAGGCAATTGTATTCCTGGAGAAGGTACGTGATTAAAGTCTCTGGATCTACCGTCTTTCCATTCATATGAGCAGCGGCAGATAATGAGGATATGAATGAGGCGTATGCTGGGGGCAAGGACCTCATGACAATTGAAGACTTATCCTTGATGCTGAGGTGTACGCCAGCAGAGCTTAGCTGTTCCCACATGTCCCTGATCTTATCGATGCGGGTGCGCATGTCCCCCTTTTTGGGGCAACGTACTGCGGCTAACCTGACAAAACCGGTCTCTGCCGAAGCAGTCATTGTTCTCCATGGAGCATAGCCACCACTCCATGGAGTAACCATTGTTCTCCTAGGAGTCATTATACTGTAGCGAGTAGCACCTCTGACTATAAGTAGTAGGGGGTTTAGTGTAACAACCAAGAGTTAGTTACTCTGGCGCACACAGAAACACACTATAAGGAAGATGATGAGGGAGTGGTTACCCCTTAGGCTGCAGAGAGTTTGTTGGTTAACAACAGGAGGACTCGCTGAGGAGTCTCCTGGATCTATTGGGGTTTATATACTACTACAGGGTTGTTTGTACATGTGTACTTTACAGTTGATGAATCTGGTGGGTGATGATCTTATGGGGGCTAGAGAAGGCTAACGGTGCCCGTGTGTGAGGCGGTGGTGATCATGTCACATCGAAAGCGTCTTCTTCTCGAAAAGGCGGAAGACCTAGGGGTGCGTGTCGCGATGATGTTAGTGCACAACGCACTTTAACTCCAAAGTCGTCACAAAGAGATAGTATCCGATGAGTAGATTTATAATATTTTACACCAACAGCGAGCTGTCAAAGCCACTATACAGTTACCAATGTCTTTAATACACTAGCGTTCTCTGACATTACCTAGTCTCCCATATGCATTGGACTTAGACTCCCCATCCACGGTTTCAGTGTGTAGGATATATTATCTGAGCGACACGATGAACACGACCGATAGATAACGATAAGATAATAGCATGGCCCGTAGCACGTACATGTTGTCCCTAACATTG